GGGGTAATTGGGATGGGGCTGGGGTAACTGGGATGGGGATGGGATAATAATGGGGTTGGGGTAATTGGGGTGGGATTGGGATAATTGGGATGGGAATGGGGTAATTGGGATGGGAATGGGGTAACTGGGATGGGGCTGGGGTAACTGGGATGGGATAATAATGGGGTTGGGGTAATTGGGATGGGATTGGGATAATTGGGATGGGAATGGGGTAATTGGGATGGGAATGGGGTAACTGGGATGGGGATGGGATAATAATGGGGTTGGGGTAATTGGGGTGGGAATGGAGTAATTGGGATGGGAATGGGGTAATTATGGGGTTCCTGGCAGGGGGGAGCAGAGCTGGGAGAGAGGTGACTGGGATGGGATTGGGATTTATGGGATGGGGTTGGGATAATAACGGGGCGCACGGGGCTGCTTAGGGGGTCTCCCGTTCTCCCTTCAACACCGGGAGCAGTTTTTCCAGGGATCCCTCCCCGTCCTTTGATCCCGCGGGGATTGTCCCACCACTCTGCTCCCCTTTTTCCCAGAGGGCAGGAAGATTTTTGGGATGCGGGAAAACTGGGGGGGGGGAAGCGATCCCGGCGCGTGGAGGCGACGTTGGGACACTGGGAATGATGTTGGACATTCCCAAATCCCCCCCTCCCCCACCCCGGGAGCAAACCCGCCTCCCAAAAAAATCCCGACTCCTCCTTCCTTTCTCCCAAGCCCCTGATGCTTCCCAAAACTCCGGGAGTTCGGGAGGGAGATTCCCAAACTCCCGCCGGGCCGATCCCGCTCCGCCGGGGGGGTGACTCAGCCTTTCCCGGAATTCCCGGGATTTGGGAGCCCCCTGGGCGGGACCGCAGGGATTTTATTTTTTCCCTCCGGGATAAAACCGACCCCGGGATTTATTCCCGGCGGACGGAATAAACCCGCCGGGGGTTTGGGAACGGCGACATTCCAAGCGCTGCTCCCAAACCCGCCCGCGAGCCGCCGAGTTTGGGCGAGCTCGGGCTCGGCTTTGCTCGCCAACCCCCCCCCCAAATCCAGGGACGAGGGGGAGAGATTTGGGGCCGGGGGGGGGGGGCGGGGGGCGGAATTCCCGCCGCGGCGGGAATTCCCACTCACCTGGCGGCGGGTCCCGGGATGGGATGAGCCGGGATGGGACGGGCAGGGCTGGCACAGCCGCTCCCGTCCCGCTTCACCTTTGGCCGGGAAGGGAAGGTTGGGTGGCACCCGCCGCTCCCAGGATTCCTGATCCCGGGGGGACACACCCCGGGGACCCCGCGGGAATGGCACGGGAAAACCTGCACCCCGGAAACCCGTGCACCCCGCGGGGGGGCCCGGTGTCCCAAAAAAAGGGGATCTCGTACCCTCAGAGGGCTCCTGGTGCTCCAAAAAAAAGGGGATCCTGAAACCCCACGGGGGTCCTGGTGCCCCCAAAGGGATCCTGAAGCCCCAGGGGGGTCCCGGTACCCCAAAAGGGATCTTGAACTCCCAGGGGGGTCCTGGTACCCCAAAAGGGGATCTTGAACTCCCAGGGGGCTCTTGGTATCCCAGAAGGGGATCCTGAAACCCCACAGGGGTTCTGGTGCCCCTAAAGGGGATCCTAAAACCCTAGAGGGCCCTGCTGTCCCCAAAATGGGTTCTGTACCCCCAGGGGGGTCCTGGTGTCCCAAAAAGGGGGTCCTGTATCCTCAGAGGGGTCCTGGTACCCCAAAAAGGGATCTTGAACTCCCAGGGGGGTCTTGGTATCCCAGAAGGGGATCCTGAAACCCCACAGGGGTTCTGGTGCCCCTAAAGGGGATCCTAAAACCCTAGAGGGTCCTGGTGTCCCCAAAAGGGGTCCTGTATCCCCAGGGGGGTCCTGGTGTCCCAAAAAGGGGGTCCTGTATCCTCACAGGGGTCCTGGTGCCCCCAAAGGGGTCCTGTAACCTCAGAGGGGTCCTGGTACCCCAAAAGGGGATCCTGAAACCCCAGAGGGGTCCCGGTACCCCAAAAAGGGATCTTGAACTCCCAGGGGGCTCTTGGTATCCCAGAAGGGGATCCTGAAACCCCACATGGGTTCTGGTGCCCCTAAAGGGGATCCTAAAACCCTAGAGGGCCCTGGTGTCCCCAAAATGGGTTCTGTACCCCCAGGGGGGTCCTGGTGTCCCAAAAAGGGGGTCCTGTATCCTCAGAGGGGTCCTGGTACCCCAAAAGGGGATCTTGAACTCCCAGGGGGCTCTTGGTATCCCAGAAGGGGATCCTGAAACCCCAGGGGGGTCCTGGTACCCCAAAAGGGGATCTTGAACTCCCAGGGGGGTCTTGGTACCCCAAAAAGGGGATCCTGAAACCCCACAGGGGTTCTGGTGCCCCTAAAGGGGATCCTAAAACCCTAGAGGGTCCTGGTGTCCCCAAAAGGGGTCCTGTACCCACAGGGGGGTCCTGGTGTCCCAAAAAGGGGATTCTGTATCCTCAGAGGGGTCCTGGTGTCCCAAAAAGGGGATCCTGAAACCCCATGGGGGTCCTGGTACCCCAAAAGGGGATCTTGAACTCCCAGGGGGGTCCTGGGACCCCAAAAGGGGATCCTGCACTCCCAGGGGGGTCTTGGTACCCCAAAAAGGGGATCCTGAAACCCCACAGGGGTTCTGGTGCCCCTAAAGGGGATCCTAAAACCCTAGAGGGCCCTGCTGTCCCCAAAATGGGTTCTGTACCCCCAGGGGGGTCCTGGTGTCCCAAAAAGGGGGTCCTGTATCCTCAGAGGGGTCCTGGTACCCCAAAAGGGGATCTTGAACTCCCAGGGGGCTCTTGGTATCCCAGAAGGGGATCCTGAAACCCCACAGGGGTTCTGGTGCCCCTAAAGGGGATCCTAAAACCCTAGAGGGCCCTGGTGTCCCCAGAAGGGGTCCTGTACCCACAGGGGGGTCCTGGTGTCCCAAAAAGGGGATTCTGTATCCTCAGAGGGGTCCTGGTGTCCCAAAAAGGGGATCCTGAAACCCCAGGGGGGTCCTGGTACCCCAAAAGGGGATCTTGAACTCCCAGGGGGGTCCTGGGACCCCAAAAGGGGATCCTGCACTTCCAGAGGGGTCCTGGTACTCCAAAAAGGGGATCCTGAAACCCCACGGGGTCCTGGTGCCCCCAAAGGGGTCCTGTATCCTCAGAGGGGGTCCTGGTACGCCAAAATGGGATCTTGAACTCCCAGGGGGCTCTTGGTACCCCAAAAAGGGGATCCTGAAACCCCAGGGGGGTCCTGGTACCCCAAAAGGGGATCTTGAACTCCCAGGGGGGTCTTGGTACCCCAAAAAGGGGATCCTGAAACCCCACAGGGGTTCTGGTGCCCCTAAAGGGGATCCTAAAACCCTAGAGGGCCCTGGTGTCCCCAAAAGGGGTCCTGTATCCCCAGGGGGGTCCTGGTGTCCCAAAAAGGGGATCCTGTACCCTCAGAGGGGTCCTGGTGCTCCAAAAAAGGGATCCCGAAACCCCACAGGGGTCCTGGTACCCAAAGGAGAATCTTGAACTCCCAGGAGGGTCTTGGTACCCCAAAAGGGGATCTTGAATTCCCAGGGGGGTCCTGGGACCCCAAAAGGGGATCCTGCACTTCCAGAGGCGTCCTGGTACTCCAAAAAGGGGGTCCTGAAACCCCACAGGGTTCTGGTGCCCCAAAGGGGTCCTGTATCCTCAGAGGGGGTCCTGGTACCCCAAAATGGGATCTTGAACTCCCAGGGGGCTCTTGGTGCCCCAAAAGGGGATCCTGAAACCCCATGGGGGTCCCGGTACCCCAAAAGGGGATCTTGAACTCCCAGGGGGGTCTTGGTATCCCAGAAGGGGATCCTGAAACCCCACAGGGGTTCTGGTGCCCCTAAAGGGGATCCTAAAACCCTAGAGGGCCCTGGTGTCCCCAAAAGGGGTCCTGTATCCCCAGGGGGGTCCTCGTGTCCCAAAAAGGGATCCTGTATCTCCAGGGGGGTCCTGGTGTCCCAAAAAGGGATCCTGTACCCTTAGAGGGGTCCTGGTGTCCCAAAAAGGGGATCCTGAAACCCCAGGGGGATCCTGCACTCCCAGGGATCCAGGGGCAGCCACAGCTTCTCTGGGAATTCCAGCCCAGCCCCTCCCCACCCTCCCAGCCAGGAATCCCTTCCCAAACTCCGGTGGGAGCCGGGCTGGGTAGACCTGTTGCCCAACCAGCTCCGGGTCGTTCCCCACTTCCCACCTCCCATCCCGGGAACGACCCTTCCCGCTCTTCCCGCCGCCATCCAGCTTTTTTTTCCCGGTGTTCCCTCGGTCCCGCAGGTGGTGGAGGAGACCCACCTCATCCTCAAGGAATCCGGGATTGGGGATGCTCCAACCCCCCCCGGAGCCGGCTTGGATTCGGGAATTATTCGGGAGAGACGTTCGGAAATACAAATCCACGGAAAGGACGGAGGGATGTTTGCATTCCCGGCGTTCCCGTTTTGGGGAAGAGGGGGGGAAGGAGGCGGGAATGGCGGCGGGAAAGGGGATCCCGGGAGCGCTCGCAGGGTCGGAATAGAAGCAGTGGAATTCCTGATTCCCGGCCTGGTTTGTCCCGGAAAGGGGGGAGTTGGATACCGGGAAGGCTCCCGCTGCTTTTCCAAGGGGATGTTGGTTTTTTTTGGAGGGATCATGGAATGGGTTGGGAGGGAAGGGAAGTTAAAGCTCATCCCGCTCCGACCCCGACGCCTCCCGCTCTCCCGGGTTTCTCCAAGGGAATCCCACCCGGCCTTGGGCGCTTCCAGGGATGGGACATCCCATAAAACCTCGGCGGAGCCCTCTGGATTTGAATTCCCAAGCTCCCAGCTCCGGGTTGCACCCGCAGGAGGGATCTGTACATCAGGGAAGGAATTAATCCCTGGAATTTTCCATCCAAAGTTTCCCTTGAAACAGGTTTTCCAACCGGGACGAGGAGTTGGATAATTATGGAATTAATCAGAGGATACGAAGCCTTTTCCCTGTGCTTTATCCCACGGGAAAAACATGGGAAAAAGGAGGGAGCGGAGACACTTAAAGCTCGTTCCAATCCCGTTTTATTCCACATCGGGGGTTTAAGGAAAACCGGGATTTCTTGAGGGAGGAAAAAAAAGGGGGATTTTTTTCCCCTCGGATGCCAAAATTTCGGGAACGGGAAACTTCAACGGACAACTTACGGAGGCGCCGCGGAAAACCGGGAAGGGGTGAAGGACCTGATCCAGGCCTGGAGCAGAACGAGGGAAGAGGGAAACGTGGAAAGCCGGGGACGGGGCGGAATTTTCTGGGAAGCTCCGGGAATGTGGGGAGGGAGGGGTCGCAGATCCCACCCGGGGGCCCTGAACTCCGTGAATTCCGGCCTTTTCCCCGGACGTGGCGGGCGGGGATGACTCCGTGCGCTCCCTTCTTTTTTTTCGGGAATGCCGGATAAGTGCAGGGAAGCCGATCCACCTTTTTCCGGGAATGCTGATCCACGGGGTTGTTGTTCCCATCCCAACCCACAGAAATCCCGGGAGTTTTAACCCCCATCTCCCGCTCCAAACCCGAGGGGTTTTTTTTTTTTTATGGCCGGAAGCGGGAATTCCGCGGCGCCGACGAGGGAAGAGGCTCCGGGATCCGAAGCCGCCGATCCGCGGGGAACGCGGAGCCGGGGAGAATTCCCGAGGGCTCCCGGAGGGGAGGGAGGGCTCAGGGATTCCCGTGGGTGCCGGCGAAGGTCTGGAATGCCCTGTGGAGCGCCGCGCGCCGGAAGAGCTCCGAGTGCTCCGACGCCGTCGCCGCCAGCGCCGCCGGAGCGTCCGCTGGGGTTTGGGAGCACACGGATCAGCCGGAAAGGGAACAACCGGCACACGGCCCCGACCCCTCGGGAATGTCCTGCGCTCCCGGAGATCCCTGGGATTGGGCGGGCGAGGGGGTTCCTCAGCCCGGGGTGGGATGGGGCGGGATTGTTCCGGTTGGAAAAGCCCTGGGAGAACATCCAAGGGTCCCCCGGATCCGTGTCCCCAAGGGCCACGTCCACAGGGACTGGAGATCCCTCCAGGAATGGCGACTCCAGCCCTGCCCTGGGAAGTTCATTCCAGAGCCTGACAGCCCTTTCCATGTGGGAATTGTTCCCAATATCCCAGCTGCCCCTCCCCTGGCCCAGCTGGAGGCCGTTCCCTCTCCTCCTGTCCCTCGTTCCCTGGGAATTGGGGACCCCCCCTGGCTCCCCCCTCCTGTCAGGGAGTTGTGGGGCGGGAAAAGCTCCCTCCTGATCCCTCTTTTCCCCGGGATGAGCCCTCCCAGCTCCCTCAGATATTCCTGCTGCTCCTTCAGCCATTCCCATTCCAGGTTCTCCAGCCCCTTCCCAGCTCCCTCGGCCATTCCCCGTTCTCCAGCCCCTTCCGAGCTCCCTCAGCCATTCCCGGTTCTCCAGCCCCTTCCCAGCTCCCTCGGCCATTCCCGGTTCTCCAGCCCCCTTCCCTGGCTCCGTTCCCTTCCCTGCACACGCTCCAGCCCCTTCCATGTCCTTCCCAAACTTCCCGATCCTCCTCCCGTTGGATCCTCCTGTCAGGGAGTTGTGGGGGCGGGAAAAGGATCCCCTCCCACCCCCCGAATTCCCAAGGGATCCCGGCAGTGCCCACTCACGGGAGCAGGACACGGTGACTTCCGTGGGGAGGCTCCGAAGGGGATCCTGGTAGAGGAGCCGCGCCCGGAGCGGGAATGTCCGGCTGTTCCTGGACAGGCTGTAGCTGAACTTCAGGAGGTTGCAGAGGGAATTCCGCTGCGGAGTTCCTTGGATCCAGTCGGAAAAGCGCTCCTGGGGGGAGGGAGACGGCTCTGAAACGTGACACCACCGGGAATATTGGGAATGATTCCAGCGTGGAAAGGGCGGTCAGGCCTTGGAATGAACTTCCCAGGGCAGGGCTGGAGTCGCCATTCCCGGAGGGATTTCAGATCCCTGTGGATGTGGCCCTTGGGGACACGGATCCGGGGTGGCCTTGGCAGTGCTGGGAATGTTTGGATTCTGTGATCTCCAAGGGTTTTTCCAACCTTAACTATTCCATGATTCACCTCCCGCTATCCCAGGGAATCCAACCCGGCCTTGGACACTCCCAGGGATCCAGGGGCAGCCACAGCTTCTCTGGGAATTCCAGCCCAGCCCCTCCCCACCCTCCCAGCCAGGAATCCCTTCCCAATCTCCCCCCCAAAGCTCCCCTTTCCCACTGGGATCCATTCCCTGGGGCCTGGCATTCCAGGCCCTGAGCCCCAGGCCCTCTCCAGCTCTCCTGGAGCCCCTTCAGGCTCTGGAATGTGCTCCAAGCTCTCCCGGGATCCTTCCCTTCTCCAGCTGAACCTCCCCCAGCTCTCCCGCTTTTCCCGGAAAACCAAACTCCCCCCTTTGGGAACCCCAAATCCCTGTGGGCATTCCCGAGCCCTCCCAGCTCCCGGGAGCACCTGCAGTTGGTCAGCCTGGAATCTCCTGCTGGAATATCCCTCCAGGTGCTGGGAGAGCAGGGCCAGGAAGCGCCGGAGATCCGTGGCCAGGAAGCGCCGGGAAAGCTGCTCCAGAGGGATGAAGGCGGGGATGGAATGACGCTGGATCCGAACTTCCGGCCGGAGCAGCAGCTCCAGGTGGAAGGAATCCAGGTGGGATCCCTCGTAGGAGGTGCTGAGGGTCAGGCACAGCCCCCGCTTGGAGAGCTTCCCAGAGATCCCTGGGAATGGGGAAGGACAGGGATTGGTGCTTGGAGAGCTTCCCAGGGATCCCTGGGAATGGGGAAGGACAGGGATTGGTGCCTGGAGAGCTTCCCAGAGATCCCTGGGAATAGGGATTAGTGCTTGGAGAGCTTCCCAGCGGATCCTGCGAGAGCTTCCCAGAGATCCCTGGGAATAGGGATTAGTGCTTGGAGAGCTTCCCAGAGATCCCTGGGAACGGGGATTAGTGCTTGGAGAGCTTCCCAGAGATCCCTGGGAATTGGGAAGGACAGGGATTAGTGCTTGGAGAGCTTCCCAGAGATCCCTGGGAATGGGGAAGGACAGGGATTGGTGCTTGGAGAGCTTCCCAGAGATCCCTGGGAACAGGGAAGGACAGGGATTGGTGCTTGGAGAGCTTCCCAGAGATCCCTGGGAATAGGGATTAGTGCTTGGAGAGCTTCCCAGAGATCCCTGGGAATGGGGAAGGACAGGGATTGGTGCCTGGAGAGCTTCCCAGAGATCTCTGGGAACGGGGATTAGTGCTTGGAGAGCTTCCCAGAAATCCCTGGGAATGGGGAAGGACAGGGATTGGTGCTTGGAGAGCTTCCCAGAGATCCCTGGGAATGGGGAAGGACAGGGATTGATGTCTGGAGAGCTTCCCAGAGATCCCTGGGAACGGGGATTAGTGCTTGGAGAGCTTCCCAGAGATCCCTGGGAACGGGGATTAGTGCTTGGAGAGCTTCCCAGAGATCCCTGGGAATGGGGAAGGACAGGGATTGGTGCTTGGAGAGCTTCCCAGAGATCCCTGGGAACAGGGAAGGACAGGGATTGGTGCTTGGAGAGCTTCCCAGAGATCCCTGGGAATGGGGAAGGACAGGGATTGGTGCTTGGAGAGCTTCCCAGAGATCCCTGGGAATGGGGAAGGACAGGGATTGGTGCTTGGAGAGCTTCCCAGAGATCCCTGGGAATAGGGATTAGGGCCTAATTCCCAAATTACCCGTGTAATTCCCAAATTACCCAATTCCCAAATTAAATGCCTAATCCCCAAGGTAACTAATTCCCAAGGAAACTGTCCAATTCCCAAGTTAACCACCCAATTCCTAAGGTGACTTCCTAATTCCAAAGGAAACTGCCCAATTCCCAAGTCAACAGCCTAATTCCAAAGGAAACTGTCTAATTCCCAAGTTACCCGCCCAATTCCCAAATTAACTGCCCAATTCCCAAGGAAACTGCCCAATTCCCAAATTAACTGCCCAATTCCCAAATTAACTTCCTAATTCCCAAATTAACTGCCCAAATCCCAAATTAACTGCCCAATTCCCAAGGAAACTGCCCAATTCCCAAACTAACTGCCCAATTCCCAAGTTCCCCAGTTCCCAAGTTCCCCAATTCCCAAGTTCCCCAATTCCCAAGTCAGCTGCCTCGTTCCTAAGCTCCCTAATTCCCAAGGAAACCGCCCAATTCCCAAGGAAACCGCCTCATCCCAAAGTTAAATTCCTAAGTCCCCGGCTCGCTAATTCCCAAATTCACCGCCTGATTCCCAAGAATTTCACTCCCAAGGCAGTTTTCCAAACTAAACCTTCACCCAAACAACCCCACTCCTCGAATAAATTCCCGCAGCGTTCCCAGAGCGCCGTGGAAAGGAGGGAATTCCCGCTTTTTCCGGCGCTCTCGGCCTCGGTTTTCATGGAAGTTCCGCTCCCGGGAGGCTCCTTTCCCGAAATTCCCCGTTACCTGTGAGGTGGAAAACCTGGAGCAGGGCCTTGAGGCTCCGGATCCTCCACTCCAGGACGGCCCGAGGGTTGGGATGAGCCGGATCCGGCGGCATTCCCGCTTTCCCGAGCCCCTGCGAAAATCCGGGAGAGGAGTCGCCGAAAAAGCTCGGGAAGGGAAATCCCAACTCGTCCCATCCCGCTATCCCGAGCCCTGGGATGGGGCAGTCACGATTTTTCCCCCCTCTGGAAAAGCCTTTCCCAAGGATCCCCCCTCTCACCCCCTTTTCCAGCCGCTCCAGCTTTTCCCGCAGCTCGTCCCTCCGGAGCCGCAATTCCCGCGCCCGGGATTCCAGCAGGGCCGCCCTCTCTTCCCGCTGCTCCCTCTCCTCCTGCTCCACGGCTTCCCGGCGATCCCGAGCTTCCAGCACTTCCAGCTGGGCCAGCACTCCTGGCAGGGGGGAAAAAGAAAAAGGCTCTGGAATGTTCTCCAAGCTCTCCCGGGATCCTTCCCTTCTCCAGCCTGGCCATTCCCAGCTCTCCCAGCCCGGATCCAGAGCCTGCCATTGGATCCAGCCCCAGCCCAGCTCCTCCCTGGGAAGGAGTTCCGGGAACAAGGGGGTTCCCTGGGAATCTCGGCACTCAGGGCAGGGTCTCCCTTCCCCTTTCCTGCCTTTTCCATCCCCACATTCCAGAAAAATCCCTCTGAGTGGATTTGAGTGTCCTTTATCCTGGAATTCTGGGATAGTTTGGGTGGGAAGGGGCATTAAGGATCATCCCATTCCATGTCCAGGGACACCTCCCGCTATCCCAGGGAATCCCACCCGGCCTGGGACACTCCCAGGGATCCAGGGGCAGCCACAGCTTCTCTGGGAATTCCAGACCAGCCCCTCCCCACCCTCCCAGCCAGGAATCCCTTCCCAATCTCCCCCCCAAATCTCCCCTTTCCCACTGGGATCCATTCCCTGGGGCCTGGCATTCCAGGCCCTGATCCCAAATCCCTCTCCAGCTCTCCTGGAGCCCCTTCAGCCTCTGGAATGTTCTCCAAGCTCTCCCGGGATCCTTCCCTTCTCCAGCTGAACCCTCCGCAGCTCTCCCGCTTTTCCCAGAAAACCAAACTCCCCCTTCGGGAACCCCAAATCCCTGTGGGCATTCCCGCCCCCAGGAGCACCTGGAATGGCTTTTCCCAAAGGGGAAGTATCCAAGGAAGAGGGTTTTAGGGAAGCAGAGCTGCTCCCGGCGTCCCAGATTCCCGGGAACTCACCGTGGGGGGGATCCCGTTTTCCCGCTTCCGGCTTCCCTGGATTCCCTGCCGGCCCTCCCTTCCCAGGCTCCATCCCTCGGGAAGAGGCCGTTATTCCTTAAGGAAAAATTCCTCTCCAGTGGGAGCCGGGGAAGCCCCTGGAGCGACCCCACACACGGGGAGAATTCCCACGGATCCGGGGCTGGAAAGAGACGGAGCATCCCGGTTATTTTCGAGGAAAACGCTCCGGGAACGTGGGAATGGGCAGGATGGGAATTCCTGCGGGATGAGGGTGGAGGGGGGGGCAGGGAAGGTCCAAATTCCCGACGGACTCCCCCAAAAACCCCCCAAATTCCCACTAAAACCTCCCAAATTCCCACTAAAACCTCCCAGATTCCCTCCCGAACTCCCAAATTCCTCGTGGACATCCTAAATTCCCCAGGGATCCCGCAAAATTCCCGCTAAACCCCCCAAATTCCCCCACGGACCCCTAAAATTCTGACGGACCCCCCCAAATTCCCCACGGACCCCACAAAATACCCCCAATTTCCCCCTAAAAGCCCCAAATTCCCCCCGGATCCCTCAAAACCCCCAAATTCCCCTCAAAACCCCTCAAATTCCGCCCTGACCCCCCAAATTCCCCTTAAAACCCCCAAAATTCCCGCTAAAACCCCCAAATTCCCCACGGATCCCCCTAACCCCTCAAATTCCCCTGACCCCCCCAAAATCCCCCCATATTTCCCCCAAAACCCCCAAATTCCCCCCAAGAACCCCCAAATTCACCTTAAAACCCCCAAATTCCCCACGGACCCCCCAAAACCCTCAAATTCCCCTCAAAACCCCTCAAATTGCCCCCAACCCCCCAAAATCCCCCCATATTTTCCCCAAAACCCCCCAAGTTCCCCACAGACCCCCCAAAGTCCCCCCAGATTCCCCCGGACCAGCAAATTCCTCCCCAAAGCCCCCAAATTCCCCACGGACCCCTAAAATTCCGCCGGACCCCCCAAATTCCCCCGGAGCTCCCAAATTCCCCACGGACCCCACAAAATACCCCAAAATTCGCCCTAAAACCCACAAATTCCCCACGGACCCCTCAAACCCCTCCAAATTCCCCACGGACCCCCCACATTCCCCCGAATCCTCCCCCAAATTCCCCCTAAAACTCCCAAATTCCCGACAGATCCCCCAAAACCCCCGAATTCCCCATGGACTCCCCCAAACTCCCCCTAAAACTCCCCCAATTCCTCCCCAAACCCCCCCGGAACCCCCAAATTCCTCCGAAACCCCCCCCAAATTCCTCCGAAACCCCCCCCAAATTCCCACGGACATCCCAAATTTCCCCAGGACCGCCCAAATTCCCCCCCAAATTCCCTAAAAACCCCCAATTCCCCCACCCCTTTCCCGGTCTCTCCGCTCTCACCTCAGGCTCGAATCTCCCGCCTCCCGCGCCGCCGGAAGTGCGTCATCACGCCCCCCCGCTTCCGTTCCGTACAACAACATGGCGGCGCCCATCCCCTCTCCACCCGCCTTTCCCCTCCCCGCTGCCGGCGCCCCTGTCGCGCCGCCGTACGGCGACATGGCGGCGGCCCTGGTGCAGTACGTGGTGCTCCGCGGGGACCTGGCGCGGCCGCCGCGGTCGTGGCCGCTGGGCGCGGTGGTGGCTCAGGGCTGCCACGCCGCGCTGGCCGCCGCTCACGCGTACCGGGAGCACCCGGACACCGGCGCGTACCTGGAGCTGGGCGGCGCCATGAGGACCGTGGTGCTGGAGGTGAGGGGGGGGGGCGCGCGGGGCATGATGGGAGCGCCGCGCTGAGGGGAGGGGTGGGCGCCATGTTGGGGGGGGCGAGGGATTTGGGATGGGTGGGAGAATCCAGGTGACGGGAGGGAGCTGCGGGGGATCGCCCTGCGGAAAAGAGGGATCGGGAGGGAGCTTTTCCCGCCCCATAACACGCTGACAAGAGGGGGGAGCCGGGAGGGGGGTCCCCAATTCCCAGGGAACAAGGGACAGGAGGAGAGGGAACGGCCTCCAGCTGGGCCAGGGCAGGCTCAGGTGGGATATTGGGAACAATTCCCACATGGAAACGGTAGTTTCCATGGAATGAACTTCCCAGGGCAGAGGTGGAGTCGCCATTCCCGGAGGGATTTCCAATCCCTGTGGATGTGGCCCTTGGGGACACGGATCCATGCTGGCCTGGGAGTGGTTGGATTCTGTGATCTCCAAGGGTTTTTCCAACCTTAACCATCCCTAAGGATTCTGTGCCATCCTGGGACTATCCTACCTCTCCACAATCCCCTGGAAGGAATTTTCAGGAGGTCCCCAGTTCCCAGGGAACGAGGGACAGGAGGAGAGGGAACGGCCTCCAGCTGGGCCAGGGCAGGCTCAGGTGGGATTTTGGGAACAATTCCCACATGGAAAGGGCTGTCAGGCCCTAGAATGAACTTCCCAGGGCAGGGGTGGAATCGCCATTCCCAAAGGGATTTCCAATCCCTGAGGACGTGGCCCTTGGGGACACGGATCCGTGCTGGCCTTGGCAGTGCTGGGGGTGGTTGGACTCCGCGATCCTGGAGGGATTTTCCGACCCGAAACCATCCCTAAGGATCCTGTGCCATCCTGGCGCTGTCCCAGCTCTCCACAATCCCCTGGAAGGAGTTTTCAGGAGGGTCCCCAACCCCTGTATCCGCAGGCTCCGGACGAGGCGGCGCTGGCGGCGCTGGCCCAGACCCTGCGGCAGCACCGCATCGACCACCGCGTGTGGACGGAGCATCCCGAGGACATTCCCACCTGCCTGGCCCTCCGGCCTTATCCCAAGGATCAGGTGCACCAGCACCTGAAGGGGCTGAAGCTGCTTAAGTGATCCCAACTTCGTCCCTTGGAGTCCCCGTTATTCCGGCCGGGATTTGGAATCCCGGCGGACGCGGCACTTGGAGGTTGCTCCAAGGTTGGATCCCGTGATTCCGAAGGTCTTTTCCAAGCTGAATAACTCCACGTGTTACATTAAAGCTGGGAATCTCCCCTCCGCCCCAAGCTTGGGATCTCGGGGGTTCTGCCGCCTTTGGAATTGTCTCTGGGGGGTTTTTAGGGATGAGTTTTCCAACCTTTGAGCTTCCCTGTGTGTCCATCCCGAGCCGGCCTGGAGCTGAGGGAGGGCAGGGAGAGATGGGAGATCGGGAAGGGATTCCTGGCTGGGAGGGTGGGGAGGGGCTGGGCTGGAATTCCCAGAGAAGCTGTGGCTGCCCCTGGATCCCTGGCAGTGTCCAAGGCCGGGTTGGATTCCCTGGGATAGCGGGAGGTGTCCCTGCCCGTGGAATGGGATGGGACTTAAGGTCCCTTCCCACCCAACCCATTCCATGATTCCATGATTCCATGATTCCATGATTCCATGATTCCATGATTCCATGCTCCTTCCTCATCCTTCCTCTGCCTCCCTCCACAAGCTCTGCCAGCACTGAGCTGCTCCTCCCGGCTCCAAACAGCAGCATTCCCGGTGGGACAGACCCTCACCCTCAAGAGAATCATCCTGAATATGGAAAAGTTTGTGCTCTCCCTCCTTTCCCTGGGAGTGTCCAAGGCCAAGTTGGAGCCACCTGGGATAGCGGGAGGTGTCCCTGAACATGGAATGGGATGGGATTTAAGGGCCCTTCCCACCCAAACTGTTCCAAGATTCCAGGATAAAGGACACTCAGAATCCAGTCAGAGGGATTTTTCTGGAATGTGGGGATGGAAAAGGCGGGAAAGGGGAAGGGAGACCCTGCCCTGAGTGCCGAGATTCCCAGGGAACCCCCTTGTTCCCGGAACTCCTTCCCAGGGAGGAGCTGGGCTGGGGCTGGATCCAATGGCAGGCTCTGGCTCCAGGCTGGGAGAGCTGGGAATGGCCAGGCTGGATTTGGGAAGGATCCCGGGAGAGCTTGGAGCACATTCCAGAGGCTGAAGGGGCTCCAGGAGAGCTGGAGAGGGCCTGGGGCTCAGGGCCTGGAATGCCAGGCCCCAGGGAATGGATCCCAGTGGGAAAGGGGAGATTTGGGGGGGAGATTGGGAAGGGATTCCCGGCTGGGAGGGTGGGGAGGGGCTGGGCTGGAATTCCCAGAGAAGCTGTGGCTGCCCCTGGATCCCTGGCAGTGGATTTCCTTGGATCCCTGGGATAGCGGGAGCTGTCCCTGCCCGTGGAACGGGATGAGCTTTGAGTTCCCTTCCCGCCCAACCCCCTCTGGAATTCTTTTGGCCGCCTTCCCCCTTTCCCGAGCTCCGCAAATCCCGCTCATCCCCAGGGATTTGGTGCCGTTCCCTCTCTCCCATCCCGCCCGGTTTATCCACGATTTTATTCCCAATTTCCCGGCGCCGGCAGCAGGCGGCAGCAGAGCCTCTGGCCGAGCCTCCTCGGCTGGAAAACCGCCGGAAAAACGGGATTTTCCGGGAAAAAAATCACCCCCAAGCCTCTCTTTCCCACCTCTCCCAATTCTCCGGGAGAGAGGGAATTTATCCCGCTTTTCCCGCCCGAATTCCCGTTTTTTTTCCCACAGCGCGGCCAAGTGGAAGTGGGAATTTCGAAGCCGGGGCTGGAAGTGGGAATTTTTTCTGCCCCGTTCCCTCCTCCCGAGGGGGGGGGGGGGGGTTGGGGTCGATCCCAAAAAATCCCGGCGGCAGCGAAATTCCCGATCCAAACAAAACTCCGCTTTTTTTGTTTGTTTGTTCGTTTGTTTTTCGATTCGTTTTTCCACACAAAAGCAGGAATTATCATTATTATTATTATTATTAATATTATTATTTGGTTTTTTTTTCCAGAGAGGGACCAAAAAACTCCCCCCCCTCCCCCCCAAAAAACCCCACCCCAACCCCCCCTAAAAAAAATTTCCGCGATATTAACAAGAGGGAAAGACAAGAAAAAAAAAAAAAAAATGACTTGATCCAGAGTCAGACCTATTTAAATGGGAAAGCAAAAAAAAAAAAACTTAAATCAAAAAATAAAACCAAAATAAGTTTTTTTTTTTTTTTTTTCCTTATTTTTTTTTCTTTTCCCGACAGGATGCTTCAATTATTATCATTCTTTTATTATTATTATCATTATTATTATTATTAATATTATTATTATTTATTTATCATCATCATTATTATTACCACCATTTTATTTTAAATAAGCTACTCCAGCTGGTTGTTTTTGTTGTTTGTTTGTTTTTTTTTTCACCACGATTCGGAGCAGAAAAAAAAAAAAAAAAAAAAAAAAAAAAAAACCTCGACGGCTTCGTTTTATTTCGGATTTCGTCAGAAAATTTATCTACAAGAGCCCCTCCCCCTCCCCTCCCCCTTTCCTCCTTCCCCCCCTAAAAATTATTAATTATTATTGCGGGTTTTCCCCCCCCACCCAAAAAAAAAAAATTTCCGCTTTTTTTTTTTTTTTTTTTTTTTTTTTTTTTTTTGGTCTTTTTTTTTTCGTTGTTTTGATTTTTTTTCCCCCCCACTCTTCCTGCTCCACGTTTGTCCCGCCCCCTCCTTTTATTTTATTTTACTTTATTTTATTTTATTTTATTTTATTTTTCTTTTCCCCTCCCCCTGGGAAAAGGGGGGAAGGGGGGGGGGGGCGGGAAAAATGTGGATGGAAAAAAAACGGGTGGAAAAGGCGCTTTCTTTGTCGTTTGTGTTTGTTTTTGTTTGTTTTGTTTTTTTTTTTTCCTTGGAAAACCGACAAATCCACGAGTTGCTAAAAAAGCTGATTGTACGCACAAGCCCAAAAAGGGAGGGGGGAAAAAAAAAACGGGGGAAGGGATTAAAGTAAAAAAAAAAAAACTCGGCTTTTCCCGCGGAATTCCAGCGCCGATCCCGCCGTCAGTGACAGATCCAGCTGAGACTGAGCGTCCTCTTCCTGCCCTGGCTTTTCCCGGGAATTCTGGCTCCGGGAAGGAGCCGACGTGGGTGGAAAAATCGGGGTTAAAGTCGGGATTAAGGTCGGGATTAAAATCGGGATTAAGGTCGGGATTAAGGTTGGGATTAATGAACCCCCCCCTCCGGAGTTTGGGCTCGGGTTTAGGGAGAGGCCGGAATTCCAGAGGGGGAGGAGGAAAAGGGGGGAAAAGGAGGGAAAGGGGGGAAAAAAGGAGGAAAAGGGGGAAGGGGGGAGAAAGGGGGGAAAAGGGGGAAGAAAAGGGGGAAAGGAGGAAAAAGGGCACGGGGGGCGAACGGGGGGACAAGGGCGAAGAAACGGGGGCGGCAGGGAAAGGAGGAAAAAGAGGGAGCAGGAGGACAAGGGACGAAAAAGAGGAAAGGAGGGGGGAAACAGGAGGAAAAAGGAGGGGGAAAAAGGAGGAAAAGGGGGAAGAAAAAGGGGGAGAAAGGAGGAAAAAGAGGGAGAAGGGGGAAAAGGGAAGAAAAGGGGGAAAAAGGAGGAAAAGGGAACAAAAGGGGGAAAAGGAGGAAAAGGGGGAAAAAAGGAGGAAAAGGGGGAAGAAAAGGGGGGAGA